CGATGGTGGCGGCATTGATCCACGCCGCGCGACTCGTGTTCATCTCGGCCAGTCGTATGTACCAGAATTCCTTTACCCCATCTTGGTACTCTCCCCTCTACCGTATGTTGACACGCGCCACGGGTGAGCAGCAGCCCGTCTCCGCGACGGCAATGTAATGGGCCTTGCAAAGGTCGACGGCTGGCCCCTCCCTGCCGCCGCCGGCCACCCATACACAGCTTGCGCGGCTGTTCAAGGAGTCCCTCGGGTGTCGAATGAACAAGCACGGGTGCTGACCGTAACGCGGCGCGAGCTGCTCACCGCGTCCAGGAATCTCCCAGGTGCGCCTTGTCTGGGCGCCGTCGTTCTTGGCGCGCTCTTGGCGCGCAATACGCGCTTGGCAGGATGAGGAGACGAGTAAGGCTCAGACCCGGCGCCTGGCGAGTCTCCCGCCCGGACATCAACATGAAAAACATGGACCCTGTGTGCCTCGCCAAGGCGCACGCCATCTTGGCTGAGAATGGGCGGTAATAATGGGCCTATAATGCCGGAACGCGGTCCTTACCCCCCTGGGGGACTCCGCCGCTGTTTTTCATAGTTTTTTTTTTAACTCCAAAGCTCGCGAGCAACCCCCCCACAACAAAGGTACCACGCTAGTAGGGGGACCTGGCAGTTGGTTTTCTGCCCACTTTCTACCTCTTGCTACACCAAGTCCCCTAGGCTCTCATGATCCGGCCCTTATAAAGGGGTTCTACTTGATTAGGTATATTGATGCTAATTTATTACTCTGTCCCTCGCTTACACCCAGCGCCTCACACCAGTCCCCATAGGGCGTAGGGCTCTGGCTGCGAATTATGATGGACCATAAGCCCTGCGCAGATTGTCATGAGCCTACAAGCTTGAGAAGAAGATGAGCGGGACGTGTATCGGCACGAGCTTTGGCCATATGCTGCAAAGACATAGCCGCCGCATTACGCGTAACCCTGCCAAATCCAATACCGTAAAAGTAAGCCGCCTGCATTTAATCGCTTTGCCCGTGTTAACATATTAGTGTAATGGGCTTTCTGCATATGGTTCTTTTATTTCCTGCTAGCGATGAGCAGTTTGGCGGTGACTTAAACTCCACGTCGATAAGGATCTAATCCCTGTTGGCCAAGGCGCCTTAATACGATGAGGCATCCAATGCTGGGCGGCATTCTTGCCTGATTTGGTCTCGAAGTACATCAAAGCTGGCGAATCGAGGTAATAAGACAGGGGCGTTACGAGAGTCGCCGCCGTATACGAGCTTGATCGTAATCTTGTAAAACGTCGAAATGCCTCCCCTGCAGGGTCTGCCCACGGAACGCGGCGAAATACCGTAACCGTCACTCCATCAGTCTTAGTGATGTTACTTTTTGCGTATTTCGTGAGAAATCGGTGACTACCAAGTCTATGCAAATAGTCAGAGGATAGATCGTACCTGTCTTGCGCTCCTTGACTGCACACCCTGAAGATCGTACGAGAGGTGCCAGGTGAGTGTACGTACATCACGCCAAGTAATGGACTGTAAATTAGGCAAAGATGAGGGTTTTGTACATACAAGCAATATTTGATATTCGGGTACGAAGCGACAACAAAAGCAGCCAGAGGTTATTTATCCACAGTGGGCCAAGTAGAGCTGATACGAGCCTCTATGCCTTGCAGTGTACAAGTCGGCATACAGAGTCGAATTACTATATATACTATGTGCAACTCTAGTCGTTGGTCGAGTTACTCATCAGCATTGAGAAAAACTTGCATCATGCTTTCCATCTTCTTCTCCCTTATTACGCTAGCCTTGGCCACAGTCCCCAGGCGTTTGGAGTGCAACAGCCCGCACCCAAGCGATGCACTGTTGACGCTCCATGCCAACTTGGCCAATGAACAACTCTTCAGCAGAGACCCTTTTCCAGAGTCAGTTGTTATTAACACCTACGTGCATATTTTTGCGGAGAACACTACGTACGCAGGCGGATGGCTCAGTGTGCGTAACCCTCTTGCCGATCAACCTCTTCAGAGCTGACTCCTCGATGCCTGTCCAGAACACCACCATCGAGAAACAGATCCAGGTCCTAAATCAAGGCTTCAACAGCACGCCGTTTCATTTCACTCTCGCAGGAATTAGCCGGAATATCACCCGTCTGCCCCCGGCCACCAACCCGAGTATGGACGCTCGAATGGCCTTCTGGTTCAAGTACCGCCAAGGCAACTACCGTAGCCTGAACTTGTACTATATAAGCGGCTTTTACGGTGGCCAGTGCACTTTTCCAAGCATGCAGGCGGCGTTGGAGTCGTCGGCTGACTTCTTTCTGGATGGCTGCACCATGGGCGCCGACACAACGCCCGGCAGCAGCGGCCTGTTTGGGGCCGGGACGACGACCATCCATGAGGTTGGGCACTGGATGGGCTTGCTTCACACGTTTCACGGCGGATGTAGCTCCGAGTATGGTGATTTTGTAGCGGATACACCATTTGAATCCGACGCACCTAGCAAACTTGACCAAACCTTTGAAGAGTGCCCAGTCGGTCGTGATAGTTGCCCTGACTTGCCTGGGCTTGACCCTATCCATAACTATATGGATTATACCTCGGAGTGAGTCTTCTCGAATATAGTTTCAAATAATGGTGTTTGCTAATAATTGTTCAGAGTTTGCCGTTCCGAATTCACCCCTGGTCAGATTGATCGGATGAAGTCGATCTGGGCATTAGTGCGCAACGTTAGGACATCTTCTGGAGTAAAGAGCTAGTGTACGAGTTTTGGTATAAGAATATACTCTTCTCGTGTGACTGGATTGACCCCGCCCCCCTCCCTTATTAGTATATCTTTCTCAATCCCCTTGTCTAAGACCTTCACCGTCGGAGGATTCAGCTGCTTCCAGGGAAGCTTCATGCCGATAATATGCCTGCATCGACAGATAATGGCTTGCCAGGTGGCCAACAACTTGAACGTAGAAAAACTGCCCTTTGATCTGCAAAGTAATCAAACACAGCACTCTCAAGATCCAGTAGCTTTAGTTTACTATCCACAAGTTGAAAGTTTAACAAATTAGGATCATCTTACACAACGTCAAAGGCGTCAAGTGCTCAGTACCATGATTGTAGCACACGTGAGAGTGCCTCCACAGTGAAGGTGTCAGGGTCCTATTAGGGCACCTATTAGAGCCCCTATATTATATATATTA